AGGTGCGATCGTTAGGCCTATTCTCATTAATGACTTAACTTCAGATTGACTTCAGAGTGGTATTTGGGCGATGGTATACAGAATGCACGGATGACGGCATATCTGTGTCATTTTACTAAATTCTGTTGAGCATTTTTTCGCTTTTGTGTCATAGTTACGTTTCAAAGTGGCAATGGTTCGGAGTTACGTCACACGTGATTCCAGATCTATTGGTGTGTGGCTTGATCTCGTTATTGTTCATAGTAAACTACAACATGCTAGCAGCGCATGACATACAACGATACTGAAAACTGGACACCAGCTCTCAGGTTTGTGAAGTTTCATAAGAATCATACTCTCGTGGGTGTGACGTCAGAGCTATCCTCCCTTGCGAAAAGAAGTAGTCTACAGGTCTGAGGGATTATAGTCGATTCTGAGGCGTCCACTAACACTGCCAAAAACCCTCTTTTCTTGGTCCACACTGTCCAGAAATGTCAAATAAATGTGCCATTGGCAAAAAGAATGATAAACAAAGGTATGTATATCTGAAAGGTGGCAAACCAAAATACAATATTGCCATCCCTGCGGCAAATCATAGCAAAGAAAGACCCCCGTAATATTCTTGGTATTGTTATCGTCAGGGATCTGAACTGAAATGCGGAATTGTGTGGACGGTACTTCAGAAAGCAATTTGGCTCTTGTCCTCGCCGCGTACTGACAAGGTTAGAGGGAAGCCTGGGGGAGGACTAAAATATAACATGGTATCGAGTACGTTTTATTTGCTGAGGTTTACTATATATATTCAATAATTTTCTGGCATTTCTATGCATCTTTTTAACAAATAAAGTTTGGAAGGTTATGATAGTTTTAGTGTATATTTCCGTAGTTTTAATAAATGCACACAAGTGACGTCGATAAGTAAGTAAAACTCCTGGTCTTTCAGCTAAGGATTTCCTGAATTTTGAGAATCTTAAATAGTAAAGTCACTTGCATAAATCATATGCAACTGGTTCTCATATTGACTAATACACACACGTACACATAGACATACATACATGTATACGAGTACAAATATTGTATATTTGTACTCGTATACATGTATGTATGTCTATGTGTACGTGTGTGTATTAGTCAATATGAGAACCAGTTGCATATGATTTATGTAAGTGACTTTACTATTTCCTTAAAGTCACTTACATAAATCATAAATTAGATTTATTAATAATGTGATAACAGTTTCAAAATCAACATCTTCAGTACCTAAAGCTAGAATCCAAGTGGATTTCGAAACGGCTGTCTCATTATCAGTAAATCTAGTTTGTGCTTTTGGGTGTTTTCTAATATATATATATATATATATATATATATATATATATATATATATATATATATATATATATATATATATATATATATATATATTCATATATATATATATATATATATATATATATATATATATATATATATATATATATATATATTCATATATATATATGTGTGTGTGTGTGTGTATTTATGCGTGTGTGTGTGTAATTATGCGTGTGTGTGTGTATGAATATGTAAATGTGTGTGTGTGTGCGTGTGTGTGTTTGCGTGTGCGCACACACACACACACACACACACACACACACACACACACACACACACACACATACACACACACACACACACACATATATGTATATATATATATATATATATATATATATATATATATATATATATATATATATATATATATATATATATGTATATATATATACATATATAAATATATATATATATATATATATATATATATATATATATATATATATATATATATATATATATACACACACACACACACACACACACACACACACACACACACACACACACACACACACACACACACACACACACACACACATATATGTATATATATATATATATATATATATATATATATATATATATATATATATATATATATATATATACATATATATATGGGGGGAGGGCAAACACAAGGATCTTTGTTATCATTATCAATATTACTGTTATCATTATTATTATTGTTTTCCGTACCATCATTTTTGTTCATACTTTAGTTTGTTCTCATGGCTCTGTTATTGTTTTCGTAGTTTCCTAATAGCAGCGAGGTTGCTGTTACAGATGGTGATGATGTTTTTATTTTGTCCACTGTTATTATCATTTCTACTATAATTACCAACGATGAGATAACATGACATATGCGGATGAATTGGTACTAATAAAACAATAATATAGAAACAAATGTTAATTCTATTTTTGCATGAGTATTCTGGTTTTATAAAAACAATACACTTAGGCATCAATCACCATGGGATAGACACCCGTTCTAATTAAACACACATGTACACAGCTGCGGTAGGTAGTACCTCTGGAGTTATTTGTTTATCTTTAAAAATGTCTCATCATTAGTATCTGGATGCGTGCTACGAATGGCCTGTGCAGGTGTAGCCCCTTGTTTACACGGAAATGTGCAATTGATGAT